TTATTTATTAATTGCTTATTAAGGTTGTTATGTATGTCCTCTTCGTTTCCAGCCGCCTTTCTTCACGGCTGTGCCTGCTGCCAGGTTTGTGAAGAGGGGGGATCGATCCCTGGGCAAAGCTGGGCCAAACATGGGAAGGGGGGGATGGTGCCAGCCCGGGGTCCAGGCAGCCCTGGGGGGAAGGATCAGCACACAAGGGGGTTGTGTACAAATCTATGTGACCAAGCAGGCTCTAAGGCTGTGTTTGCCCTTCCTCACACCCTGTGGGCATCCTCAAAAGGGCTCCTGAGCTGGGAGCATATGATGGAAGGATGATGTGATGAAAGGATGATAGGATGGAAGGTTGGCATGATGCAAGGACAAAGCCCTCTCTGCTTTTCTCTTAATTATAATTGTGTTAAAGCAGCACAAACTGATTTAAAAGCCCATTATAACACACCTGTAATTGAAGGCACAGGGCTCTCAATTTGCTCCCTAAAGGCAGAAAGCTTTGGAACACAAAGGAGGGAGAAGGCATAATGGAGGTGCCTGGCACTGCAGCAGCTGGAGCATTGTTCCTTCTCTGACCTGGGAGCTGCAAACCACTCTGGTTACAACCTGTAGGAATCCTGGAGCCTTGTGCTTGATCCCATCTGACTTTTGCAGATCCCTCGAATCTTGGAGTGGGGGCTTGGTTTGACTCACAGCATTGCTGCAAGGATACCCAGCACAGCCAGGACTCCCCCTCCCCAGATCCCACAGGCAGGACCTATGGTAGCAAACTCTGTAAAACACAGGGAATTCTGTGTGTGACAGCAGTAAGAAGCTGTTATTAAAGCAGGAGCAGCGTCAGGCTGATGCTCAGGAAGCTGCCAGTGCACATCACAGATCGCCTGCAGAACGCAAGTCTGACTCTGCCTCTTTTTCTTTCTTCCAGACACTTTTATAGTTGTTCTTTGTTGTTCCCTTTGATCTGGAGCAGATGCTACTCGTGCTGGAAGATGGAGGTTTGCATGTTTTATGAAGGGGAAGCAGGCACTGCGAGGCTTCCCGGGAAAGCTGCTCGCTCCCAGGCTGTGCCGGGGGCTGCGAGTCCCCTTCTCTGGGATAACACCTGCTCTGCCTCACTGCCACACCAGAAGGGGTTTGCAGGTCTGGGAAGGTCACAGGTGTATTTCTGCACTACTTCCTTGATTCCCAAAAGTGGGTAGAAAGGGGGTGGTTCAGGCAAAAATATGCAGTTACTCCTTGAAAGGCCCCCAGCTTGGTGAGGCTCATCTGAGGTCTCCTTCCCAGTCTCTGGTGGAGAGGTTGTTCCACATCCCCACTTCTCTTGTACTCAGGGGATTCCTTGCCTGATGCATGGCTGAAATTTGGGGTGCCAGGGGTGTCAGGGAGAGGGAAGCCCAGGCAAGCAGCAGGGTCATGCGTGCAGGAGGGTTGGTGGGGAGGTGATCACATGGAGATGGCAGGGCCTGAGCAACGAGGCAAAGCTGGGGACGTTTATGTAATTTGGGATAAGCTATAAAAGGCAGCTGGAGGAGTAATCAAGGATCAGTCCTGCAGTGAGTGTCGTGGGAGAGGCAGCAGAGGAGGTGGTGTAGGTGCAAGGGGAGCCCTGCAGCATTCCCGGGAGATGAAGATCCGTGCGCAGCGCTGCCGTGGGGTACGTGCTTGGGATAAGTGAGCTTTTGCACCTGTGCTGGCTCTGGAGCGGGTGTTTGGAGGTGAAAGCATAGCAGGGATATTGTCTGTGCCAGTGGCAGGAGGGTGTCTGTGCGCCAGGGAATCTATCTGTGGAGGCAAGCACATATGCTTGGCTCCGTAAGGACATATATCACCTGACTGAACACCCTCGAACGTGTGACGCGCCAGATGGTTTGGTTAAATATTTAAGCAAGCTGCTTTCTGTCCTGGGGACTCCATGTGTGCGAGGAGTCAAGCTGGGGGCACGCCCTGGGCACCTGTGGAGGGCTGAGAGCAGCCCAGAGACCTCCCCCAGCACCCTGGCAGGGTTGGGGAGGGAGGGGAAAAAGAATTTGGATGGATAAACCACCATCCTGCCTCTGGGGAAGTCTGTGCTGTGTCACTGGAGCAGCTTGGCCAACACTGCCATGTTTAATCACTCCTGAGCAAGGGAGATGCTGAACACAAAAGGACTGCCCGCAAGGAGAGGGTTCCCGCCTGGGAAGCCTGCATTTACTTAGCTTTATTTATTTATTCATTCCCAAAGGGGCACAGCTCCATCTGCATCCTGCTTTCGGCACAGGAAATGTCTCCTCTGCCCCAGTGCTGCAGAAATGGCAGCTGATGGTGAAAGCCCTTTAATGCAGAGGGAATGGAAGAAGCGATGACTGTTAAATAATATTAAATATATTCTTGGATCACTTTATTAAGGTTTCCCTCCCCGGTGTGGTAAAGGCTTTACAACACACCTGTTCAGCCTCCAGAAAGGCATTTAGAGTAGTTTGTGTGGTTAAATATTCAAACATTTAATTAGCATACAATACCCACCGTGTTAAATCCTACCACTGCATAGTTCATTCCAGGGTTAGTTAACAGCTCCGATGATGTTGTTCCTCTGGTTTGCTTCCCAGCCATTCCTGCCTCCTCTCATTCCAGATGGGACACAGGGAATTGCATCTCCCTGAGAGTGTCCTGAACTTGCTGGACTCCGGTGGGCTTTTTCCTTGGTGCTTGAGCTGCTTTTCATAGAATCATGCAATGGCTTGGGTTGGAAGGAACCTAAAAAACAACCCAATCCAACCCCTGCCATGGGCAGGGACACCTTCCACTAGCCCAGGTTGCTCCAGGCCCTGTCCAACCTGGCCTTGGGCACTTCCAGTGATGGGGCAGCCACAGCTTCTCTGGGCAACCTGTGCCAGGGCCTCACCACCCTCACTGTAAAAAACTTCTTGTATCTGTTCTAAATCAACCCTCCTCAGGTAAAACCATTCCCCCTTGTCCTGTCAATGAAACCCAAGTTTAATTTATTTTGATTATGTTTTGTAATCTGGTCACTTGAGTTCTTTTCTCTCTCCTGGGTGGGAGCAAACCTGCCTGTGCAGTTCCAGAGTAGCAGCTCAAAGTCTGACTTAATTTTTTATTTTTTTTTTAAAGTCTCTGCAAAACAAGTTGAATTGGGTCGAGGTGGATTCAGCAGTTAAAAACATCAGAAGGGTTCCTCTGTGATGCAGCAAACAGCACATTAAAGGTTACGGATGCTGCTCTAGTTTGTCAGGACTTAGAGCTGGAAGCTATTGGTGCTTCCCAGGCAATGGTGGGTGATCCACTTGTCTGTGCTTGTCTCTTCCCACCTCTCCAAAATGGCAGTGGTAATACCACCATGGCCTATTTTTGTTGTCCAGCCCATAAGCTTCATGTTTTTAAAGCACACGTGGATTTCCTGGCTGGCAGTCCCAGCAGGAACACAGCAGGGTAATCAGAGCACTGCTGTAATTAACTGCTTCTCCTCAGTGGAATACCTGGCCATGGGCAGAGCATCTCCCAGCTCTGGGTGGCCCCAGGAGAGCTGTGCTGTCCCCTTAATGACACCGATGCATATTAATGTTTCTTTTGGTGTCATCTTCTTGCCCTCCACTGTCCTGCCCCAGAGCCCCCACTTTGGGAGCATCTGATCCATAGTTGTTCTCCAGTGCATGATTAGCAGATTAGCCATTGTGCCCAGAGCAGCAAAAAAAATGAACTCCCAGAAGCCCTTCAAAACAGAGAATAATTCATTACCCACCTTGATTTCCACTTAAAATGTACTTTAACTACACTTCAGACTACAAACCCTAAATCACCATCATGTTCACAAAAAATCCATCATTTTTTATTTTACTGCACGGCACTGGCATGACATAATCCCTTCCAGAGCGTCTTGGAGTGCTTTACGGATCAATAAATTACTTACCTGCACAGCAGAGGCATTGCGTGCAAGGCCATTGCAGTCATTCCGGCTCGGAGCAGCCCGGGAAGGTGTGGGAGGTGGGGAGAGGCAGGGAAGGGATGCTCAGGAGTGAGGGGTCCAAGCCAGGAACAGGGGTGTTGCGACGGTCTGGGCTGCAGCTGGGGGCGGGGTGATGGATGGGGCTCGCCCAGGAAGGCTGGAAGGAGCAGGATGCTTTGCAAGTGATTTGTGCCTCTCCTGCAAAGCGCCGCGGCGGGGGCCAATCCACTGCTGGGCTCCCGAGAAAGCTTGGAAATAAACCCAGGAAGGTGATGGTCTTTATTATGTTCTGCAGGTGCAGGCTGATAAGAGCAGCCGATCGTTTTTCCTTGTACAGCCCCACCATGGTGCTCCTGGAAACCTCAGCCCTCCCTGGCAGCCGCACCGTGTCCTCTGCTCACACAGCAACAGGAGCCCAGTGCTCCCTGCTTGCTCCTCATCCCTTTCCAGCCCCCTCTTCATCTCCCCCTGTCCTCTCCTTAGTCCTGGACTCCTGAGATCTGACCCTCTCTTGAGTGTTCATGATGGCAGTGCCAGTGCAGTGGTATGGCTTCCATCCCCATGGAATTTCCCTTCCTTTGCACGCTGGTAGAACTTACAGGCTCCTTGGCAGACTCATTGTCTCCATGCCCAGCTTCTCTTGGTGCTTCTCTGGTTACAAGGGCCTGGCAGAGATCCTGCACAGCTGCAGGAGTTTGAAGGGGTGGATGGTGTTTTCTCGGGATGCAGCTCTGCTGGGAAGGGTTTGTCATGGCTGAGAGGACACAAGGAGTGCTGGAAGTGGGATAGGAAGAAGCACTGTCTCACACACTGTGGAGGTGCTGAGGAGGAGCTTCTCGAGCCTCCCTAAAATGGCTGAATCCCCTCTGGCTACAATTTTTTCCCACTTCAGCCCTGTCTTCTCTGCCCCCTCTTTTCCCTGTGAGCTCCTGTCAAGTCTGATGAGACTGATGGGCTACTGCATAGCTTGTCAAGGTGGAGGGAAATACAGTCTCTGTCACCCACAGCTTGAGATTTGAGTTGGAGCAGAACTGGTTTTAATTTCCTTCTCCTCTTTGCGTCATTGCAGTGTCTCCAAAAATCACCGAGATCTCTCCTGACATCTCCATCAATGAGGGCGGCAACGTCAGCCTCACCTGCATAGCCACGGGCAGGCCAGATCCAACAATCACCTGGAGACATATCTCACCCAAAGGTAAGAACCAAACATTCCCAGAGATATTTTGGGAGGGGCACAGCAGCATTTGTGAGCAGCCAGAGAGGCGTCAGTGGCTGGTGAAGGTGAAGTTGCAAAGTGAAGGTGAAGTGAATGGAAAAGATGTGACTGAATGCAGGAGTTGTTGACTTTGGTAGAGGAACATCCATCTTGGTGGTCTGGAAGGACAGGTTATGGTTTTGGTCAGGTGGAGGACTGGCTGTAGGTGCCAGGTTGGGTTTGTTGTGCTCAGAGAATCGGGGAATACCCTGAGTTGGAAGGGACCCACGAGGATCGTGGAGCTCCTGCACGGGGCACCCCCACTGTGCATTCAGCGTGCTTGTCTGGCCCTGTTTTGAGAAGTTTTCAGGCAATTCTTACACGTTGCTTCAAAGGAAGATTGTAAATAATGCAAATGAGCAGGAAAACACATGAAGCATTAATTGGTGGCCTTGTTAATTGGTAAGCAAAGCCTCAGCAGAACTGTGTGGGTGTGACTGCTGGGAAGCAAATTCCCATGCGTTCCGGAGCGTATAATTTCAAACCCTTTCCCCAGCTGCTTTTTGGCCTCTGCTTTGCATTTTGCTGCCCTGTTATCCCCCCGTGGCCGCGAGGATCTCGTGGGTGAGCTGGGGGTGGGATCCGGGGGGCTCTGGCTGGGATGAGCCATGCGGCCGAGCGTCGCTGCCTGGCTCTGCTCCTCTGATCCTGTCTAAGCGCTTCAGTTCCACCTCAGAGTCGTGTTTCCCCTGAGGTTTTACCGCTGTGGGCTGTTGTTGCAGACAACTGCCTCGAGTTCTCCTCGGGGACACCCGTCCGGGCTGTCCGGCCGGAGGAGGCGGCGCAGGGGTGGCAGTGACGGATGGCGCCGTGGCCGCTCCTCCTGTCGCTGCCTGGCGATGGCTGAGCTGTCTCGCTGCAGCTCCATTGATTTTTTTTTTGCCGTTTGTCTGCGCTGGAGGGAACGGCTGGGCCTGATCCATCACTCCCCGAAGCCCAGGCACAGAGCGAGCTGAGTTGGTGGCATCTCAGCCCCTTCCCCCGACAGGAGTCTCTGTAAAAACTGTTCCCCCAGTGCACGTGTTGCCTCATCCACTGTAGGTGATCTTGCTTCCAGCAAGATGTCTTCAGTTGAGGTCTCTGCATGGATAACTGATGAAACTCAGGGTGTAGATCCGTGTGCTCCTCCCCACCCCTGAGTGTCTCTATGGAATCAAAGTTGTCACCACCAGGCAGCATTTATGGTTGAGGCAGTCCATGTGCTCCCACCTCAAAGTCTTTTCTTCCTCCTCTTCCCCTTGTCTACCCTGACAACATGTTTTTGTTTTGCTCAGCCTCCTCACCGCCTGTTTGTCACATGCATCTTGTTTTCCCCACAGCTCCACTCACCTTCCCACATCCTCTCCAGCTCCCCCAGGACCCTCTTCTCCCACTCCCGTGCCCCTCACTGCCTTCTCCCACACACCATCCATCCTCTCCTAACCAGGCTCCCAGCTCCTGATGCCTCTGTCTTTCACGAGGGCTATTTTCTGTGTTTGCTGCCATCCAGCAGGTTTTTTTCCCCAGGGAATCTTTACCTGCGCTTGAACCAGATGTTTCCATTTTACTTAGGACTTAGCTGCTATGGAAACTGAGGATGCACCAGGAGAGGAAGAGTGAGCTAATCAGAAATTACCTGTGGCGCTGTGTAATTTGCAGCAGCAGCTCTTTCCTGATTTTGGCCATGATTAGGCATTCTGCTTTCAAAACTCAAAGGGAACAAATGATCACAGAGATTTACTTGAGCCTGGTCTCCTGCTGATGAGAGGTGCTGAGCCCAGAGGTGAGCCAGGACAACTTCCATGGCTGTCCATCTCCATGGGCAGCTCCTCTGTCTATGGATCTGCCAAGCCACCAAGGGGAACCTCTACTTCCCCATTTTGCATTCACCACACGCAGCAAAGACGAGGATGGGAAGCGTGAGGACTGAAATGAGAGCCAGGGAAGATGCATAGAGGTGCTATAGCAGGTGCCAGGATGGTATCCCTTTTCCTAGTAGGATATACTCTAATTTGGAGAGCTGGGAGCAAGTGAAACCCAAAGCTTGCTGCTGGCCTCTCTCTTAGTTGTTGGTCCACTACTCGTCCCACGGGAAGTGTCGAGTGAGACGCCTCCTGTTCCTTCTCGCCGTCTTCCTCCGTCTCGCTTGGAGAGGTGGAGGAAAGGGATGAGGGAGAATTGGTTCAGGGAGTGCTGGTGCATAATTTAAGGGTTTACACAGCGGATGGTAAGCAGCTCTCACCGACATCGCTGGGGACAGGCTGTGCCAGCGCTGTCTGTGCCAGGCACGGGCACCCCGGGAGCTGAAGGACTGATCCCATGCTGCTGCTGCTGCTCCGTGCAAAGGCACTTCACGGGGTTTATTATTTCCTTGGCAGCTGGGAGCCCACTGCACAGCTCCTGGGGGGAAATGGAGTAAATAAGAGTGTTTGCTCACCAGGGCAGCGCATGATCAGGTCCTTCAGAGGATTTACACCCAGAGCAGCACAGCTCCCTGAGGACTGATCCCACTGGAGACCCTTTTCCAGCCACTCCAGGCTCCCCCGACCACTCAGCTGTTCCCTCTCTGCTCTGATGAATATGTGTTTAGTGGCTTAGGCTGGTGAACTCTGCTGAATGTTCCTGTCTGCAGTTGTTGCCATGTTCTGGGAGGCTGGTTTTTGAGGCTCTGTTTGGTTTGGGGGCTGGGGGAGTTCCTGCAGCTGGGCTGAGGAGAGCATTTTCATGGGATAACTCAAGAGCTGAGTGAACCTGAGCAAGAGAGTTTTCTGCCAGTGAATCACAAGAGTGCTGGTCCCATCAGTGCCTCCATCACTGATCAGAGCCTTGCATGATGCCTGGCCCTACCTGTGCCCATCTCCTGCCAAGAGCAAAAGCAGGATGCTGGCTCTGGAGAAGGATTTTTTAAACCCGTGACCAGTCCAACCAATGTGTACAGTCTATCTTCTGTCCCTCTGCCTCACCCCCTCTGTCCTATTTTATTTCTTCTCCCACTAATGCTGTACTAACCCACAGCAACTCCCATTAATGCAGCTGAACAGGCTAAGGCAGAAAAAGAAGAGGATTTGGTGGAGTCTCAGCTTCTTCTGCCTCTCCAGAGGAGGCCTAACTGCTTTGAGGCTCTGTCCTGGGCTTGGCTGCTCCAACTGGCAGCACAAGTGTCAGCTGAGCTGCCAGGCACTGAGGCTTCAAAACGCAGCTCACCAAAACCATATGGGGATGCCAAGCTCTGGCATGGGATGGGGCTGTTCCATCCCTTCTTGGCACCCCTGTCAGGCCAAGACTACTGAGATGGCAATCAAGGGAGGCATCTTCAGCAGGGTGGAGAGAGGGGAAAAAGGCAAAGAGGGAGAGAAGGATGTGGATAACCATGGTCTGGATGTAACACCCAGCAGGAAGGCAGCAGCATCTTTCCAGAGGAGGTGGAATTTGTGGAGAGGACTTGGCTTCAGGGGTCTGAAAGGCAGCACTGTGTGTGCCCATGAGCATTCATTTTGCACCCTTAGGTGCTGAGCATCTCTATGTTTCCAAGGCTTTGGATGTATCACAGCCCTGCAGTGCCAATGCCATCTGTAAACTGCAGCGAGGTCTAGTTACTAGCCTGGTTTTGGTCACTCAGGTGTTTCCATAGTTACTGGGCTTTTTATTTATTTTTTTGGGGTAACTCTGATGTTGTCATGGCGATTGTCAGACCAGTTTTCCTTTCTCAGTGGATGAAGGCTGGGATTTCTTGGCATCCCGGGCTGCCGGGCTCAGGGTGACGCCAGAGCCCTGGCAGAGCGAGTGGCACCATGTTGAGCTGTCCAGGGGATATTTATCTGTGCTGCAGACACGAGACTCGTCATGCCTCCCATTTAGCTCAGGAAACGTGCCAAGGAATTGAAGTGAGGGATCTTCCAGGAGGGATGAAGGCTCGGCAGCCTCTGTCCCAGGAGGAGCAGGCATGGCTCAGCAGTAATGAGGGGGAGGCAAAGTGTGGTTATCCTGCCATGCCAGGGCCAGGGGCACAAAGAAAGGGTGTAAAAGTAGGTGTGGGCACGTGGATCCCTCCACTGGCTCATCCGCCTGGCCCCACACAGACATCCTGAGCCAGAGGCTGCATCCAAGTCGTCATCCTTAACAACCCTTGATGGACTTTTCTGCCACGGTTTTGTCTAATTGCTTTTTGATTATTGCTGTAGTATGATGGATTCTGGTGTGAGGCTTAAGACAGCGGCTGCCAGGGTAGGAAAACATTATGGTTTGGCTTGATGGTGTATTTACTTGTGAGAGGTTTGATCGAGAGGTCTCTGTAGCGGGAATCCCTCATTAATCTCAGGATTAAGCTGGGTGCTGAAAGCTGGATCCTGTGCGGAGTCTGAGCAGTCATTTGTGGGGCAGGTGACACCTTGTTGCTTCAAGGCAGAGACAGGGGAGATCCTCAGAGAATCCCTACGTTACCACATCCCAGATATCCCCTGATCAGTCCTTTTAACCTCCGTGGCTTCCCTGGAAGAGGTACAATGGCAGTCCCTTGTCTCACAGAACCAATGGGAGGATAAATATGTTCCAGACGTGAGATACTCAGACACAGCAGTGATCACAGCTCATATATGCACTTAAGATAGATGAGACACAGTGGCCTGATGTGGCAGAGGTCTCATGAGATCATCTGTCTATACATCAGCAGCAAACCAGCAAAGGGACTCTGGGAGAAGTCTGGTATATTTGGATATATTGATTCTCTCTGGCTCTTGGCGCGGCTTAAAACAAGAGGACAAACAACTGCAAAAAATATCCAGCTGGAAGACTTGCTTGTCCCTGGGAAGGGGACACATTGTCCCATCTCAGAGGTTTGTCCATTAAGCACTTTGCCTGCTGTCTTCATCTTTCCAGGATCCTCCCAGGAGGGAAGGCATATGGGATATTTGTAGGCTGGACACCAGATCTGGCTCCAGAGAGAAGGGGGAACCACTTGGGTG